AGGATTCCCGCCCAGGATCCAAATGCTGGAACGAAGCCCTTTACTACCACTGAAGCAATCTTCCTTGCAACACCCTGCAAGTGCTGGGACATGCAGACAATGCAGAGCCACTGTAGTAAAAGCACACAGGGAGCCCTGAAGCTGAGGCACTGATCGTTCAGAAAGACAGCAGGCAGGTGAGGCTCTGAGACAATTTAAAGGAAAGGGCAAGCTCTTGGAGCTAAAGTATCAGTCAAATGACTCCTGAGAGGGCAGCTGAGGCACAGCCATCTCAGCATAAACAAGGTGCAAGGATCCACCCCCCCTCAACCCTTTGTCCAACCTATGAAGCATTAAATAAATTCAACTGTGTACCTACGATACACAGCAGGAACTAAAATGACTTCAGCTCCACCCTGAACAAGTACACAGGCTGCTTTGTAAAGGTTCATCATTTTAAGCTCGCAGTCATCCTATAATGGACGAGTCATCATACCCATTTTATACAGGCAGAAATGGAGGGTCAGAAGCTAAAAGCAACAGAGCTCAGGCTGTAATCCAGAGAATCAGAGAATCAAATCCTTGCTCTATGCACTCCACCATGGTGCCACCATACTTGGTTAGAGGTCAAGGCAGGATTTTTTTTGTTTTTTAAATCCAAGCTAGAAAAAGAATTTTTCTTTGAGACTGAGTCTCGCTCTGTTGCCCAGGCCGGACTGCAGTGGCGCGACCTCAGCTTACTGCAAGGTCTCCCAGGTTCAAGCGATTCTCCTGCCTCAGCCTCTCAAATAGCTGGGACCACAGGTGTACACCACCACGCCCAGCTAATTTTTGTATTTTTAGTAGAGATGGGTTTTCACCATGTTGGCCACGCTGGTCTCGAACTCCTGACCTCAGGTGACCCACCCGCCTCGGCCTCCCAAAATGCTGGGATTACAGGCGTAAGCCACCGCGCCCAGACGGAACATTTTTAAATGCCAGACATTAAATGATACGCTTAAGAAAACCCTCCATTAATCCTTTATCTATCTCCACCTCCCACCTTCTCTGTCTCCTTCCCGTCACAGGCATGTTCTTTTTTTGAAAGAGTTTTCTGAGATTGCTGCCTCCACTTCCTCACCTAGCAAACATTACTCAACCCTCTGTCATTAGGCTTCTCTCCTCAAAACACCCTGGGCCCCCCAGCAGATGGAGCACTGGCAAAGACGAACAATGACCTTTTCGTTGCTGAATCCCATCCAGTGGCACTTTGCTGTCCTATGTCACTTGACTTTCCCCACAGGATAAAACTAGTCACAATTCCTCATTTCGTAAACTCTCTTTTTGGTTCACATGACATTATTCCTTTTTGGTAATCCTCCCAACTCTCTGGCCTCTCCTTCAGGCACTCCGCTCACCCTAAGACTGCTCCATTAAAAAGTCTATATTAGCTCTCTGCTATTCTCACTCCACTGTGTGGTTTGGGGTTTTTTGTTTGTTTGTTTGGAGACAGAGTCTCACCCTGTCATCCAGACTGCAGTGCAGTGGTGTGATCTCAGCTCACTGCAACCTCTGCCTCCTGGGTTCAAGCGATTCTCCTACCTCAGCCTCCCCAGTAGCTGCGATCACAGGTGCACGCCACGTCACTCGGCTAATTTTTGTATTTTTTAGTAGAGATAGGGTTTCACTATGTTGGCCAGGCTTGTCTCAAACTCCTGACCTCAGGTAATCTACCCACCTCACAAAGTGCTGGGATTACAGGCATGAACCACCATTCATGGCCGATTGTGCAGTTTCATCTTGGACAATCTCATTCATTCCCACAGCTTCTTCTATCACCTATTTTATGTTGGCCTTAGATAGACATCACCAGCCAGGGGTACTTCTCCAAGCTCCAGACCTGTCTCTTTAATCATTTAGTAGACACCTCTACATGCATACTACACAGGCATCATGAAATCAACCAATCCAAAACTAAACTCCACCCATCCCAATACGTGCTTGTCCTTTCATGGGTCCTACATCAGCAAAAGAGACTAAAATCTATAGTCAAATACCTGGGAAGCCTCCAACACTCTAACCCTTTTCACTAGTATCATTCAGCCACAAATTCTTTAAGATGCCTCATATTTGTCATATATCTCCATCTCTACATGCTGTCACCAGTTCCTCAGCAGACTATTATACCTTATCTTTGGCTACACTCAGCATTTCCATGTGCTCCTTTCTGATTGGACCTTGGGCAAACCTGCCACAACCTGGGCATCATAGTTGTCATGGAACCTCTGTAATCCTTGCTTCCCCTCAGTTTGAGTACACCTCTGTATCTTCACAGCATCCCACACCTCTCATTCGACATTGAAATGGTCTGTTTACTTCTGGATTCTCAACTAGACTCTAAACTTGAGGACAGAAATGTACTTTCTCATCTTTATATACTCCAGGGCCTGAAATATGAGCAGACTCTTAGTAAATGACCTTATGAAAGAGATCAGGCTGTGGGTGGTACTGAAGAAGTAGTAGAGATTTCCAAGGTAGGGAGAGAGGGGAGAAAGGAGGTCATTCACAGGGCAGGAATGGCTATGAAGAAAAGTAGGGAACTAAACTCAGGCATATCACCTGAGAGTCTGCAGTTTGGTTAAACCAGAGAGTTCCAATAAGAGGAACATGATCTTGAATTTAATTTAGGCAAAGATTAATGGAAATAACAGAAGCAGAAACTGGCATTTATAAAGCACTTAATTTATAAATGTATATTCAATTTAACCTCAAGAAGGAGGGATGCTAGATACTATAGAGTAGGTATTATTGTTCCCATGATTCGAAATATTATGGGGCAAGCAGATATCCCCAAAGTCTATCGTGACCTCTGAGTTACCAGAATTTAGCATGTTCTGACTTTCACATTCCATGATCTTTAACACTACAAAAATAACTCCTTATCTTTAGTTAGTAATTATAATTCAAGAATTGCCTTACCATACAACAACACAGGATTAAGGAGCAAAAGAATAAGATCTCTCATACTCTCCACTCCTGCCCCCAACCCCAGCAGACACTTTCTGCCTCTACAGATTTGCCTTTTCTGGACATTTCACCTAAAGACATGTAGTCTTTAGGTGTCTGGCTTCCTTCTCATGGAAAACGTTTTCAAGGTTCATCTATACAATAGCTGTATTTCAATTCTTTTTACTGGGTAATATTCCATCCTTTGCCTATACCACAGTTGACTCATCTACTCTCCAGTCAGCACTTGGCTTCTTTCTGCTTTTAACTATCATGAATAATGCTGTTATAAACAATTGCATACAAGTCATTGCATGGGTATATGTTTTCATTTCTCGTGGCTAGATACCTAGAGGTAGAACTACTGGGTCATATGACACATTTGGTTTTAACTTTTTAAGAAACTGCCAAGCTCTTTCCAGAGTGGCTGTACCACTTTGATTTCTTATCAGCAGTGTATGAGGGGTCCTGTTTTCCCCACCCTCAGCAACACTTGTTACTGTCTGTCCTTTTCAGATCCAGCCATTCTGGTAGACGCAAGATGGTATAGCACTGCGGTTCTCATTTGAATTTCCCTACTGACTAACGATGTTCAGTGTCCTTCCATGCACTCTTGGTGAAATGTCTAGACAAATCTTTTGACTTTTTAAAAATTGGGTTGTGTTCTCCTTATTAAGAAGCTGTAAAAGTTCTTTGCATATTCTAAATACAAATCCTTTATCAGAAATGTAACATGCAAATATTTTCTCCCAGTCTCCTCTCTCTACGTCCTCCTTATTGGCCAACTGTCTGCTCTCTCTCTCTCTTACTGCAACTGTCAGTGAGGAAGGTTACAGGAAGCCATCTGAAGAGGACAACCATACAACTTGAGAACAGAGAAACATAAAACTAAAAATGTGTTTATCAGGTAATTTCCTTGAAATGTTTCCATGAGAAACTGGATTCAAGCTTTTTAAGCTTACTGAAATCCAAAGATCATTATTACAAAGTCTAGAAAATTAACAGCTTCAGTCATTCTCCCCAGTAAACTTTAATAAATAAAAAGAAAGTAGAGTTTTATCTCCTTGACTTACATTACAAAATAATGTGATGCTGGAACCCCAAAAGGAGGGATTCTAAGAACCTTAATCAATGCCTATGCTGCATTAACCAAAAAACACCTTCTGAATGCCGCTGTGTACCACATACTCAAGGTGAAGTATGGATAGATTGTCTAAACTCTCAAATGAGTGGATTCTAGGTGGAGACAATCATGGAAAATTAAAAACCATTTTTTCTATCTACTACCAAATCAAGTACCTTAGCTACATGTGATATTTGCAAACAGAAGAGAAGGACACACACAGGAACATAAAAAGAAGTAAGTGCCTCTCCACTTACTGCAAACTCCTACATATACTCCTGCCTCCCATGTGCCTTTCCCTGCTATCTTAGCACATATGCAGGGACAAAAGTAACTGTTCACATCAGCCCCAAGTTTGCTTTGTGCTTGGATAGAATGAGGTTACTTGGGGTCTCTGTAAGCAACATCAGTGATGGGACATGAAAGTCCCACATGGTTTTATTTCATGAGAAAGCGTGTGACTTCCCCTTACAGTAAACTGTCCCATAAGCACATTCTACTTCAGCTGCACTTTCCAGAACAGTTCCCAGGAATTCTGCTTTCTATGGTCAATACGTGATGGAAGCCAGAGAACAGGGAACTGATCCAGATGCAGGGAAAGGGATGGGGGAAATCATGTTTGAAAGTATCCAACATTGCACGCACATATGGTCTCAGCTGACCTTTATTAAGATGTCGTGAAGAATGCAAAGCTCAGAAAAGTTAAGGTATGTAGCCAAAGTCATCCACAAGACATAATTTCCAGCAGGGAATTATGAAAGAGGGCAACCCCTGTGTGGCCCAGGTGTTCATCTCCAAAGAGCACATGCTTTCTGAATCGTGGAGGCAACTGCTTTAACTGAAAAGACCAATATGTTATATTTTCAAATTCCTTCCCAACTGATTTTTTCCTCATTTTTCTTTCTCTCGCCAGAAATCAAACCAGGAATAACCTATGGTGAACCCACGCCTCAACTGTCCCCAAGTGTTTCCTGACACGCATCTTTGCTTACAGTGCATCACAACTGAAGAATGGGGCTCAACTTGACACTTGCAAAATTACCAAGTAAGCCATCGGAAGAGATGTAAAGAAAATCTTACTTTATCAATGACTATTATTTTCACTGTTTGGGAATTTGGGGAGTTTAATGGTCAGAGAACCAACTAACAAAATAAACTAGCATTTAGCTTTGTGTTTCCTTATGTATAAAACAGTAAACAGGATAGTATCACTGAGACAAATTTAGCTTACTATCATTTTGTTTTAAACTTTGTTTCATCTAGACATCATCTCTAAAATGACAAGTAGAATTAAATTAATAATATTTATGGAAGATTTTAAACACAAACTAGAATCACATATTACTTTCCAGATTTAATAGTTTAAACCAAGGTTCATGAGGTTCCCCAAGAGGCCAGAGATAACACTGACCTAGTCTACGGGGTAACTATTTAGAAAATGATCATACCTAAATACAAAAAATTAGCCAGGTGTGGTGGCGCATGTCTGTAGTCCCTGCTACTCGGGAGGCTGAGGCACTAGAATCGCTTGAACCCAGCAGGCAGAGGTTGCAGTGAGACGAGATCGCACCACTGCACTCCAGCCTGGGTGACAGAGCAAGACTCTGTATCAGAAAAAAAGAAAGGAAAGGAAAGGAAAGGAAGGGGAAGGGGAAGGGGAAGGGGAAGGAAAGGAAAGGAAAGGAAAGGAAGAAAATGATCATACCTAGGCAGCTGTGCCATGATAGTGACACCCTATAATTTGAATGACTTTTATTATTTCATTCCCACCTGGCAGGTAGAGCAGTGACATATGTTGATACTTTCACATTTTGTGCCAAGTGACACGTCCCAGTGAACAATGATGTAGCTTCACCAAAGGCAAAAGTGGCAGATTCTTCCCTACTCTGTCATTCATAATGTGACTCTATGAACAAGACAAATGGTAATTAAGCTTTATGTTATAGAATGCACACCAACTAAGTACTAGATACTGTACTCAAAATGTCTGCAAAGCATTTAACTCTCAGATGATCCAGCAAGATGGCTATGTATTCCATTTTACAGTTATGAAGAGGCTAAACCAGCATCGTCAAATAGAACTTTCTGCATTGATGAAAATTCCTATATCTGCACTGGCCAATCCAGTAGCCAGATGTGGTTACCGGGAAACCTGAACATAGCTAGTATGACTGAGGAAATTAATTTTTTAAATTATGCTTAATTTAAATTTAAAATTTTAAACCCACATGTAGTTTGTGCTATATCTAGCTACAAAGCCCAAGCATTCCCCAACACACATACTCAGTCCTGCACACACACATGCACAAACCTATTCCCCCTGCAAAGATAGCCACAGTTCCCTTACGCCCCAAACAAATACCACCCTCATATGTGGCACAAAATAATTTACTATGGAACTAGTAAACTGAGTTCTTATGTCACTGCATTTGTTAATTTAAAAGGAAATGGAATGAGAGTCAGAGAGAATACCAAAGGAAGTTTTACTCTCAATTATCGCTCTGTGTCAAGCCCTGCACTATACAATCCAGGGAATACCACCCTAGTAAACCAGAAGGGATGGGGAAATCATGTTTGATACTATCCAACACTGCATGCACATATTGTAAGAAAACAGTCTTTACACTGTAAAACAGCTTCTAATTTTTCTTAATTGAGTCACCAAGCTATTGTCAATTAAAGATGTTCCCTAACTTGGCCAAGTTCTTTACTGTCAGGGAAGAACAACATGATAAAACTGCCTGGGTGAAAAAAGTCATTCACTTTTAGTGGTCAATGTTACTGAGTGGAAACATCATATAGAGAAATGCTTCTGAGTACACCCATAAGTTTTGGAAATATTTAAGGTAATGACAGAGAATAAATGACGGGCATTAGCTGGCAAAAAAGAATATGATATAGACTTAATTCTAAAAAACAAATTGATCACACGAAAATCTCAAAGTTAAGTTTTGAGCCTTCCAGAGCATCCAGATGAGTAATGGCTCATCTGCTTCTTACAAACCATTTTTCGTCTCTACTACTATATTGTTTCAGCAAATAACTCATAACAGGCTTTAACCATAATTTGTTTAAGCTGTGTTGCCTAAATGTGAAATTTGTGAATGAAGTAATAACCAGGCCTAGACCTATCCCATTGAATTAAGAAGTCCTATAGTCCAAAATGTTAATCCTATACATAAACTAAGAAAGCAAATACCGTGAGGTTACACAGTCAACAAGTTCAACACCAGACTGTCTTGAAGCCACAAAACAGTTCAATAACCACTGTGGAAAGAGGTCAATCCTACTTGATCTTTTTAATTTATAAATATATATATGTATTTATAGATATATGTTAATATATATAGATATTATAAATATATACATACACACAACCTTTTTTGACACTCTGATTGGAGACTATCTTTAATAATAACCATAATTGTTAGGTAAATCATCAAAATCATCATTTAATAAGAATGTGTTCATATAAATTAAACTTCAAAATATTATAATGATAAATGGAACTGACAGGCAATCCCTAGGCAACATGGTGAAGTAGGGGTTCTTGCACTCCACGATAGGTATGCATAGCAGATCCCCAGGTTACCAACACCAGCAGTTGAAATATTCCCTGCCAAGTATGCTGTAGCTCGTGAATTTGTATTTAAAATTATTTTGAAAAGCAATTCACCAGTAACTGTTACAAGGCACAGCCAGCACTTCAGGAGATGACATGGCTGCTCCTTTTCAGGCTGTGTCCCTCAGCTGGACTCTTTATTCTGATTTAAACTCACATGTCCTCTCTATTTCCCTAAGGGTTCTATCCCGGGTTAGATGAAAGTGACTGCTAATCATTTAATTGGGTAAATTAATTCAAGCAGACAACTCAGTTAAAGCCACACATCTTAAGAAGCTCCTAATGTCACTGATACTGATTTAGATCTTATGATACAAAAACAGCCAAGACTACATTAAATCAAAATAGGCTTAAATGATACTATACAAGGAAATATTACAAACTTGCAGCAGTAATATAGATGGCTGCTGAATCAGGCATTTTAACTTGTAAAGCTTAGTAATACCATGGATCTCATAACAGGCTAGTCCAGATATAAATTACTAGCCTGTGTAAGGTTAGTTAGGCCAGGGAAACCAGTTTTTAAAAACACTCACAGTAAGGAATAAAAGGGAAAGAATTAGGAAGAGGACAAGGTTACTTAAGAACAGCCTGCACTTAGATGTCAAACAGCAATTTAGGAATCTGTTTTTGGATTTTAATCATCAAAACTTTCCTGTTTCTCTCCTCAAAGAAGGGAACCAAAACAGATACTAAACTGCCTGTGTGCAGGGCAGTGAGGGCTTAAATTTATGGCGTTATCTCAATAACAAAACCATTCCAAAACATAATTATAACTACAGTAAATATTATTAATTAGAGGGAAGTAAAAATTCAGAAGTGACCTTCCTTCTAATCTTACCTCCAAAAGGTGAATTTATAAATTAATTTCATTAGTTCAGGTTCCCAAAAAACAATGACAATAAAATGTGTTTAAATGGCCAAGAGATTTATTGGGGAAAATGGCTACCAGGGAAAATGGGGCAAGCAGAAGGCTGGCACAGCCTTCCAATCACTTGTGGGAGAAAGAAGGAAGGAAGATTGAGTAGGAACAGTGCAGTTTGAAGAAAGTTCAAAGAAAAAGTTTGAAGACTGGTAAGTACTCCTCCAGCCAAAGTCTTTTGTCAGAGAAACCCCTCCTCTTACAAAAACAGGTTTGTCTTGGTATCCCTGCCATGCTCAGTTACAGGCCCAGAGCAGTCCATGGGAAGCGTGGCAGCAGCGAGAATGTGGTGGTAGATCCCCACAGGAGCTGGCTGTCCATCATGCTCCCCACAGTAGGAGACATGAGAGGCCCATGTCCATGGCTACTACATAAGTCAAATGCTCATGACCCAATTCACTGATTATATGATGCAGAGATATGGTATAGGTCTTTAACAACAGAAACTAAAAATTCCAAAAAAGCAAAAGGTTTAAAAATTCCCACAATAAATGCAATAGGTGTAACCTAGCCTTGTAAACAAAAAAAATATATACCAGGTTGCAATTACTTTTAACAAGTTGTCCTCCTTGGCAATAAACTGTAAAATTGCAAAACTTAATAAGAATGAGAAAACGAAATCAGCATTTATCACTGGACTACACAAAAACATATTTTTGGATATTCTTGACTATACAAATGCATTTTAATGAAGAATTAACTAGATGATGTGTAAATATTTATAGTAATCAGAGGCAACTTTATACCAGCCTACACCTTAAATTCTAAGGTGAAAACAGATTTCAGAGAATCAGCAAGTCAGATCTACATTTATCCAGGACTTTTTTCATATGTTCACTTTAGAAGACAGTAGATTTTCTTTTTATTTACAAAATTGCCAAGCCACTTTCTTTCTATTCCTATCAATGGTCCCTAAAAGATCTTAAGTACTATAAGAAAGTCATAGGCAAAAAATTCAAAATGACCCACTAGTTTTACACCTTCTTAATTCTTAATGATTAAACAGCTTAAAACTGAGGCAGGGGAGGGGAAGATGTATTCAAAGAGGGTGCCAAAGACTACAAACCATGTGTTGGCTATTGTTATTTCCTTGTTATAGAAAATTTCAATTTTCTCTCCACGTTTTGTTGATTATATTTGTAACGATATCAAACATGGAAGTAAGAATCGGGATAATTTACATTGGTATATTTATCTTCAAAAGGCTGGCATAGGGGATCAGAAATGGGACTTTTTACTCAACGGTCCTGATATGAGGGAGGCAGGGTAGTGAGAGAAGGTCGCTAATTCTTTGACCACTCAAAACATTAACAATGTGCTACCTTTACTCTTTAAATCATTGATGACATCTTTAAGTTCACCTGAAATAACAAAAAGTTGGGTCTGTAAGGGAACCTAGTGGCCTGTGGGCACGGTTGCCAAGCACTGAAGTCCCATCTCCCCACTTCTCCTACAGATAACGAGCTGCACGGCCAAGAGAGTCACAATTCGGGCAACAGGAGCGACGGACCAGGAAAGAACACCACCCTTCACAATGAATTTGACACGATTGTCTTGCCGGTGCTTTATCTCATTATATTTGTGGCAAGCATCTTGCTGAATGGTTTAGCAGTGTGGATCTTCTTCCACATTAGGAATAAAACCAGCTTCATATTCTATCTCAAAAACATAGTGGTTGCAGACCTCATCATGACACTGACATTTCCATTTCGAATAGTCCATGATGCAGGATTTGGACCTTGGTACTTCAAGTTTATTCTCTGCAGATACACTTCAGTTTTGTTTTATGCAAACATGTATACTTCCATCGTGTTCCTTGGGCTGATAAGCATTGATCGCTATCTGAAGGTGGTCAAGCCATTTGGGGACTCTCGGATGTATAGCATAACATTTACAAAGGTTTTATCTGTTTGTGTTTGGGTGATCATGGCTGTTTTGTCTTTGCCAAACATCATTCTAACAAACGGTCAACCAACAGAGGACAATATCCATGACTGCCTGAAACTTAAAAGTCCTTTGGGGGTCAAATGGCATACGGCAGTCACCTATGTGAACAGCTGCTTGTTTGTGGCTGTGCTGGTGATTCTGATCGGATGTTACATAGCCATATCCAGGTACATCCACAAATCCAGCAGGCAATTCATAAGTCAGTCAAGCCGAAAGCGAAAACATAACCAGAGCATCAGGGTTGTTGTGGCTGTGTTTTTTACCTGCTTTCTACCATATCACTTGTGCAGAATTCCTTTTACTTTTAGTCAATTAGACAGGCTTTTAGATGAATCTGCACATAAAATCCTATATTACTGCAAAGAAATGACACTTTTCTTGTCTGCGTGTAATGTGTGCCTGGATCCAATAATTTACTTTTTCATGTGTAGGTCATTTTCAAGAAGGCTGTTCAAAAAATCAAATATCAGAACCAGGAGTGAAAGCATCAGATCACTGCAAAGTGTGAGAAGATCAGAGGTTCGCATATATTATGATTACACTGATGTGTAGGCCTTCTATTGTTTGTTGGAATCTGTATGTACAAAGTGTAAATAAATGTTTCTTTTCGTTATCCTTGCTTGAATCCATCAAAAATATGAATTCAAAGAACTAAAATGATACGAAATGGGGTCATAATTTGAAACTAAGGAAAACATTAAGACACAGCAAAGAGATAAACAAGAAGTAACACATGGCTCAATGGCAGGGTTAATGGTTGGAAGTCTGAGGAGCAGAGTGAAAGGGCAGAATGAGCCACAGCAATGTCCCTGCACTGTGGCCATCCTCCAGGAAAAGCTGCTGCTCTGAAGCCACTTTTGCAGAGAACAAAAAGTATAAAAAAGAAAATTATATCTATCCTGGAAGTTCAAGGATAGGAAAAGAACATACTACTTTCCATCTATAAACTAAGATCTTTGGCGATCATCCCCTCGTTCTCTGTGTGTGGGGATTTTTTTAAATTATTTTTTTCCTTTACTCAGCACTATAGAAATGCAGGTAGGGGTGTGTGGGGGTGTGTGTCTGTGTGTGTGTGTGTGCACGCGCGTATGTGTGTGTGTTTAAGGGCTTCATTTTTAGGACCCTCTGTGTCCAGGTCAGAGCTCACCTTCAGGGCTCCAAAAGCAAGTAGGAATGAGCCGCAGAAATGCTTCTGCCTCCTCTCCCTGCTTCATGCCTCACCCCCACTCCTGTGATGCTCCTGTGACACTACCTTTCATTCCTCTGGGTAAGAGACTGTCCTCCAGCAACATAAATGCCTCGTAGGGGATGCATTAACAGAGGAGGAGCGAAGGCATGTTTGCTGATTAAAAGAAGACGTTATGGTTAACAGTCAAACACACACAAATAACACAGTACAATACTTAGAGTCTTGTAAACTGCAAAGTTCTAAGAAGCAAAAATGAGAGTACAAGAATAACTTAGCTCAACAATGACTATCATTGTTAGGTACAGGAAAAGAATTCAGGGACTACAAAGAATCTTACTCTAAGTGTCTAGTGTCTTACTTTAAGTCAGTCAGGTTTGGCAGAGAAGTTAGTGGCAAAGTGGTTAAAAGTATTATCTGAGGACTTCTATCAAAATATCTGTCCATCAAGATTCCAATTCTATAAATGCAATTGACACTGAAGTGCACGAATTTACATATACCTCAGTTGGTCATTTGCATAGCTATCCCCGTCCCCAATTGTGTGTCACTAGTTAGATTAAGATGGTCATATTTTAGATCAGCTAATTAAGAAAAGGTAGTTTGAAAGGCCAATTCTTTTCTGCACTTTCCCCAGAAAGTCATGGGTAAATTACAGCTTCTCTACATATATATAAAAAGGAGGAGCAGACCAGTCTGACCAACATGGAGAAACCCCGTCTCTACTAAAAATACAAAATTAGCCGGACGTGGTGGCGCATGCCTGTAATCCCAGCTACTCGGGAGGCTGAGGTAGGAGAATCGCTTGAACCCAGGAGGCAGAGTTTGCAGTGAGCCGAGATCGTGCCATTACACTCCAGCCTGGGCAAAAAGAGCAAAAATCCATCTCAAAAAAAAAAAAGGGGGGGCGGGGGGAGTAAGCCGTGCTCAGTGACTCACACCTGTAATCCCAGCACTTAGGGAGGCCAAGATGGGGGAATCACCTGAGGTCAGGAGCTCGAGACCAGCCTGGCCAACATGGTGAAACACCATCTCTACTAAAAATACAAAAATTAGGTGGACATGGTGACACACACCTGTAATCCCAGCTACTTGGAAGGCTGAGGCAGAAGAATCTCTTGAACCCTGGAGACGGAGGTTGCAGTGAGCCAAGATCATGCCACTGCACTCCAGTCTGGGCAAAAGAGCAAAACTCCATCAAAAAAAAAAAGGAGTAATAGTGTGGCTGGGAAAATACCTTCAGTACAACAAGTCCTATCCTCTTCATCCTCTGTTTCTACCACACCACAGCCCTCCCAGTCAATAATCTCAAAAATGATATTCTCTACTTCCCTGTTTATATATGCTATTAAATGTATGATCTCTTTAACAGCATCAACGGGCTCCATTAAGCACTTTGAAATTTAGTAAGTACTTCTCTATCCCATATCTCATTTAATCCTTTCATTTAGGCTTCAATTCTAACAGGTCTTTAAGACATTTAAATCCCATCTTAATATTTCTAAAATTAGACTGCTATATAGTTACCGGGCACGTTTAATGTGACAGTAGCTTTATTTCTCCTACATGACATTATTAAATCAATGGAATATCTTCAAACATGGAATTAAAAACAGAGAACATCATCCCAATTTTTTTAAAAAGTCATATGACAAAAACCATCAATATCGCACTGCTTATATTTCACACCAATTCCCATGCTGTGGAATGAAAAGTATTTATCCAGGTCAATGAAAAATGAATCATTTACATGAGCTAAATAACATCAGTGGGAAAAATACATGATGCTAGTGTCAGAAGCTACATAATACTCTATTAATATTGAAGAAAATAATTACATTTGATTGCTATTTCAAAACTGGCTTTTGGGAATAAACTAAAATTTGAAATCCAAAATTTCTTACTTAGGGCTTTTGGATTACATTCAGTATTTCAGAATCCTCCCAGAAGGCAATAAATACTGTATTTATTCTTCCTTTTATGCAGAAAAGAAACATATTCAGAGAATTTCCAAAAGGAAAGTTTCTATTCTTCATAAAACTGACATTCAGAGAAACTGATCTTGTAGAAAATCTTTCAATGTGTGTGTTACTGTTATATTCATTCAGAAATATTTTATCCTCAATTTGAAACAGTATGATAGTATTTTGCTTCTCAACCATAGTTTCAAGAGAATGGTGCCTAGGGGAATGCATAAATTTAAATACTCAAGTCAAAATTGTGTGTATGTGTGTGTGTGTGTGTGCGTGCGCACACATGCAAAGAAGAGAATAAATACAACTGAAACATAAAGAAATGTAGTGATCACCATGAGGAAATGTGATATACTAGAAAAAAATAAACAAGAAAACAAGGACAAAATAAAGCTTAGGAACCATTTAAATCTTATAAAGACTGTCCGCAAACTAACCACCACAAGAAGCCAATTAACAAATCCATAAATACTAAGCACATACCATATAAAAAGATATTGTGCTCAGCATGATAAATAAAAGAAACTCTGGATACTCCTAAATGACTTCTAAAGTTAAATAGTTAAGCACAAACATTTTCGATTTTCAACATAATACAAGTATCATAGTAGACACAGAATTCAGCACACTCCCCAGTTCTCCATCACCATCTAGTGGTAAAACTCACAAAACAGGTGAAGAAAATTCAACTTTTGTCGTATTTACGGCATTTGAATTCACAGTAACACAGTGTAGCACTTTGCTACAGTTTTCCTTTAAACATCTTTATTAATGCTAATACATACAAATGTGTATCATGCAGCTGCCCAGTTCAATGTAATATGGAAATGCTTGACAAGAATAATTAATGTAGTCAAGTTTTGTTACAGATGTAAAAAAACAAAAACTAACAAGGCTATAATAACACGAATTTCATGGGAAAATGTTACGAATATTGACTGCTCTTTCTAAATTAACTTATAGAAAAAAATTTTAAATGTATAATTTCTCTATAGTTTCAAAAGTACACAAAATCATCATTAGAATGGAACAGGGAGGAGTAAGACTATCAGTGTTAAATAAAATTTTCCATCAATTTATCAAGAAACTCATAAGAGTCATTTTGAATGCAACTTTCATTTTGAATACTCTTAAAGTTTTCTTATAAGCCACAATGAAAGGAAATCATCTAAAATTATAAAAATGATTAAAAAAAAAAAAAGTCACCCTTAGAGACACACATCTCTTTTTCTCCTTAGTTGGAAACTCAAGATACAGAATTAAATTGGAAATTCCTTTTATTTCAATTTAGGCAAACATTCTTAATAAAAGTAAACTGGCCAACTTCTCTTTGAATTATGTTAGAGTACGGTCGCAAGTGGTGGCTCACGCCTGTAATCCCAGCACTCTGGGAGGCCAAGGCAGGCGGATCACAAAGTCAGAAGTTCGAGATCATCCTGGCCAACGTGATGAAACCCATCTCTACTAAAAGAACACAAAAATTAGCCAGGCATGGTGGTGTGCACCTGTAATCCCAGCTACTCAGGAGGCTGAAGCAGGAGAATTGCCCAAACCCAGGAGGCAGAGGTTACATTGAGCCGAGATTGCACCACTGCACTCCAGCCCGGGTAACAGAACAAGACTTTGTCTTTAAAAAAAAAAAAAAAAAAAGAATTATGTTCGAGAATATTCAGTGGTTGTAGTTGGGGCAGACTCCCCAGCAACTCCTAGAATTGAACCACACATCTGATTGATTTAATGAACAAGAATCTGCAAATAGATACCAGGTTTCCCAGAGTCTCCAAGTCTAGGTATAGGTTTAAATGTTACATGCAAGGCTTTGCAACATTCTGGACACATTTACATAAATACATATGCAGACAAACACACAGCACATATAACTGAGGCTAACAAGTTTAGCATAAAGAATGTAAATCAGCCCCTTAACCCATGATAGTTTTTAAACAGTCTTAAAAAGTTATATCCAATGCTTAAGATGGTTACTGCTAGCCTAAAGCAAAATATCTTTCATAACATAGAAAGCCATCTGTCAATTTCCCAACGATGAATTACCTCTACGTATTTTTCAAAAAGCCTGAACCACATCATACGTCTTTGAATAGTTCTTGACTTCCTCTCGGTATATAACTTATAAATACAGCATGAGTATCTTTTTCTACACCTTCTATATAGAATTGTCATGTTCCTTTGTAAGTATGAGTCAATTTCCAACATTTTATCCTTTGTGCTTTCCATGTCATGAAATATTTCAAAAATTCCTTAATTGTGAAGTTTCTTGTCAGCATCACTTACTCTGGGATATCTCATCCGTTCATTGTAGATGTTAAAAACTTTGCCTTTACTAAGTTCATCTAACAGCATATTATAGAGGTTTAACCTTCCCCTGATTAGCTATTTATTTCGTAATTCCATATGCCTGTGATTCAAATTTCACTTCCTATATTATCACTTTTCATTTC